AGCACATCAGGCCCAAGTGGCACTGGGTGAGGAGGCTCCTGGACAAGGAGGTGCGACTGGAGATTGTGAAAACCCATCAGCAGGCGGCTGACATTCTCACCAAGCGCCTGGCTGAATCTGAGCATTGGAAGGGCATGAAGCTTGCTGGAATGAGTGTGCATTGAGGATGCATGCTTGAGCTATGGCATGTGGGATGATGGTTGGCAGCCAGAGGGGGAGTTTGTTGTGTGATGCAATCACATGCATTCACGTCTGTCTGCCTCCCATCATGTGTTCGTGCGCTGCATGCGTGGTATGAGCGTGTGTAAGAATTTTTGTTTTGTGCGGTTTGGTTTTCTGGGTGTGTGTGAATGTTATTTGGCTTGAGAAGATATCTGAAGTGACTCCTCTGCTCAAGAGCTTTCCGACGAACCAAGTATCACTTCAATCGGAGCACGAACAAGAAAGTTACGAACGTTTGAGTTCGTATGCTTTTCATATTTGATTGTGGCAACTATGGGAAGTTGTGGGGTTGACTCAATATGGGATACAGCCTTTTGGGGGTTGGTAAATTCGTCTTTTCTACTGTAGTTGCTGCCATTTGGTTGGGAGAAACCAAACTAGGTTGGCAAGTGTGGCCAAGTTGGGTTGAGGTGGATTGTGGAGGTTGGGATAGTGACAAAGGTCAAAGTTAGGTTGCCTATTGGGAAGGGAATTGTGTGGCATGGGGTTTCCTTGGTTGGGGACTCTCTTGGGACCAGGCCCCACGTTTCCCGAGTAAATTACTCTGTTTCTCTGAAAATCTGAGTCATTTTTGAAAGGAACTCTGTACATGCTGGGTTTTGCTTTTAAAAGTTTAGCTTTCTCTGATTTATCAGAGTTTTCTTGTAGGCTACTCTGAGCTCTCTGGGTTTTTATTTTAAGGACCGAGTTTACTTTGTATAGAGGATACATGCCCCCTAGCCACCCCCCCCACCTCCCCCCCCTCCCTCCCCCCCTCTCCTGAATATCGGGTTTTCCCCAAGTCGCCGAGAACACCATCGAGATTTCGTTCGAGTGTTGGCGCCAAGGCCTGCTAGTGCTCGGCTGGCTCACAGTTTCTCCACCCATTTCCCCAATCCGTCATCAGGTGCCTTGCGTACCCCTACATCACAGCCACGCGTCTCCCCACTCTGTTCCGCACCCTGTTCGATGTAGACAACGCTGACGCTGCTGCGCCTGAACCTGATTCCGGCCTGTCATGCAGCTCTCGCCCTATGATAGGTCTGTAGTTTCTGAAAGGCGTAACAAATTACCCATACAGATCATACACCTTAGTAAAGTAACATCAGAGTAAAGCAAAATATTACTCTGACGTGCCTGAGTTTTTTTCCCAAAACATAGGGTTACTCTGACAACTCAGAGTGAGGCGTAAGAACAACCCTAGATTTCAGAGTTGGCAAAAAAACCACTCTAGAATTCAGAGTACCTAAAATCCAAAAGTAGGCCCTGCTTGGGACCTTCCCTCTCGTCCTCCTCATCCCCTCCCACCTGGTTTATTCCTACTCTAACTCTCTTGTGTAGCAATTGTGAACTTGTGTGAGACTATTGTTATTTATGTTAAGATTCTATGGCAGCATACCCCCTAGTGCGCCGAAATCAGGCCCTCAGATTCGCTTTTGGCTTGTCTGATTTGTCAGACTAGTACACAGTTTTAGTCTGAAAATCTCAGACTTGGTATAGAAAAAAGGCTGAAATTTCATAGTGTCTTAAAAACAAAAGTCTGATCATGTAAAATCAATGTATTCAATGTTTCATCGGAACTTTAGTCAATGTTTCATTCATCTGCTATCGAAACATGCTCTGACAGGGCAAATATAGTCAGAATTTTATGCTCTAGCTTGTAGTGGGGTGCTCTATAGCGAGTACAACCCTTCTAGTGTTTGCTCTTTGTATCCTCATTCCTACTAGTGAACATCCTCTTTGTCTAAACTGTTTCTTGCCTAGCTAGGGCTTTCCTGGCTATGGCGCCTACTTCTACTGCTTATCTTCACATGGTATTAGAGTGATATGCTCCTGGCCGGTGGGCCCCACCTCACTGCTTCCGCTGCTACTGCTACTCTGTGTGTTGCACGCCTCGTGGTGTGCGACGGATTTTTCATCCCGCCGCGCGCTCCGAGCGCGCGGCGGTTTTCTGCCCGCCATGCGCCCCGAGGCGCGCGGCGGTTTTCTGCCTGCCGTGCGCCCCGACGTGCGCGGCGGCTTTCTGCCCCGTCACTCCGCGCGTCACCCCCGGGAGGCGCTGTGACGGGCGACGGGGACCCGCACGTCGCCCCCCTTCGCCCGTCATGGCCCGCGCGACCTGCGTAGGGCCTGCGCGCGGCCCGTACAGCCGGCGCGCGGCCCGTACGGGTAGCGCCAGGCCCGCGCGCGGCCCGTCTGGGCTGCGCCAGGCCAGGGCGCGCCTCGGGCCGCCCCCGCGCGGTTCGTACGGGCTGCGCCAGGCCCGCGGGCGCCCTGTTTCCACTGCTCCTGAGCTACC